TCCTCATTTCGACAATTGAAAAAGTGAAGAGCAAAAAAAAAACACCCCCCCCCTTCCCACCCCCCTCGCGGCTCCCCACCACTCCCCCGGGGGGGGGGGGTGGTCATCCGACACCTAGGAACCCTCGTCATCACCTATGACCAAATATGTAGTGTACTTTACATTCCAATCCATACTTTAATAGCATTTTGTCCGTATTTCACATTCGATTTTCGTAAATGAACTGTTCGCCTGACAAAGTTCTATGTGCATTTTGAACATTTAAATTGGCTTGAAACCAGTATGTTCATCCGTTAAGCTAAAAAAGTTATTATTCAGAAATTCGAATAGCAATTAATCGACCAAAAATAAACATAGCAAATCCGTGGCATTTGAAAAGTGCGTCAAAAATGCCCATTTTCTGTTATATAGTTAGAAAGCGGGTTTCGCTGCGTAATTTTTCTTTTGTTGTCTATTTGCGATGGACTGTGGCGACTTGGCGCTTCGCATCTATAATTAGTTTCGATGGAATTTAATTAACTATTCGATTATTTGCGCGTTTTCCACGCACACACACACACACATGCGAGCACATAAAATGAATGCATAAGCCAGAAATGGCCGATACTCCCAATAGAATGCGACAACAGCAATTGCAATTAAAATGTATGCGTTTGCAAACAAAAATATATGAGAAGAAATGCGAAAAAAGTGGCACGAGCAGACGAATAAAGTGTGTTGTGTCGAAACAAAAACGGAAACACTGGTGTTTGTTGTGTATGTATGAAATTCATTACCATCAATGGTAAACACACATGCATTGAATGAACTTCAATCCGCCCATCAATTTTTATTGAACCAATTTACCGAAGTGGAACAATGAACAAAACGGTGCTAATGATTGACATTTTGATCTATCTCTCTCTTCTGTATACAATTTTCATTTCACTTTATTCTCACTAACTCATTCATTTTTTCTTTCATCTAAAAAACATTGTTTGCAGTTATATCGCGGATGCTGGCACCAGAGCTATACTTGTACATGATTGCACAGAGAACAAAGGTCATCGTGTCGTTTTACCAGCTGCTGTCGTTGCTGGTTCAAATCGTAACGATGTGTTATACATGTCATTAGTGCGAAAAACCGATGGTGTGAATGTGCTATATTTCACATATTTGGGCGCCGCCCGACTATTTTCAATCAAAACCGAACAATTACGCCAAGGTCTTGGATCGGGAGCGGTTGTTGATGTTGGACCAAAACCCGATGATCAACCGGTCGTATTGCTTGGCACCGACAACGGATCATCATTGTTTTTCCGTTATAAAGGACAGTCGAATATTATGATGTGGAACACAGAGACCTGTTTCAAACCGGCCAATTTCATCGAAGTACAAAAAGGTGCAGAGTGTCGATTAGCCACACAGGTAATGCCCGGCCATAAACGCTATATGTGGACCATGGAGAGCAATTTCCATGATTACATCACGAATACGGTCGGTTGTGGCGGTGCATCAATGGTTATTCATCCAATTATTAAAGAATCTCATGATTAATTGCAGATAAATTTCTTTTTTGTAATTAATTAATTGTAAAGCGCACTTGGTTTTCACGTATTGTAACTATTATTAATATTATTATTATTTTTTTCGAATAAAAAAAAAACAATAAATATTTATTATTCAATTAAACGGTTGATATATCCAATTGCATTATCATTGAATTTAATTTAAATGTTTTAAGAGAAATGTATTTTTGATTTTTACTACACGAGCACAATCTACAGGCTCAGCTTGAGTTTAATTATGAATTTTCCATGTCGATGGAGACGGTAGAATTTACATTATTTCGTTCAGTTGATTGCTATTCTGTGCAGAAACCATATTTTTCTATGTTGAACAGTAGCAGTGGAAAAAATGTCGGTAAGCGAAGAGAAAGCATTTGGATTTGTTGAAGATTTCGAACATTTTTGGTGCTTTCAAGTGAATAAGGACGTAAACTTTCTATATTTGACCGGTGAGTTTGTTAGTTCTTTTTTAGAAACTTTTTACTTCGATCGACCTAGTTGAACATGTTTTGATATTTTCAGTTTTTTTTTTAGGATTGAATTAAATTTTCTTCAAAAGTAAATAGTAAGAAATGACCGAATTGACCATCTGAAATTGAGGAAATACATGAGGTTTTAGCTAGCCAACAAATTGAAACCGTACTCACCATACTAAGTGTTTGCATATCGCACTGAACCAATCCAAAGCCACGATAAGCAAAATGTTTGTTAGCCTGACGAATAATCATTGCAACGCATTTCTGCGAACGAATAGAGAAACGATACCAATCCAACGAATACACTGCATGAGATACTTGATTCAATCGTATTGGTACCAATGTGCTATGATAGCAAAAGAACCAAATCAATGCAATTTGCAGCCCAACCGAATTTAAGCTCACATAAACTTCGAAAGCTCCAGCTTTGCTTTTCTATGGAAGTTTTTTTATTGATTATACTATTCAATTTTCTGAATTTTCAATAAAATCACCGTTTCCATTTGAAATAAACCGACAGCCATGAAAATAATGGTATTTACGATTATTATGAATAATATTCCTGACATCACTTTAACCAATGCATGCATTAATCTGAAAAAATATGTATAAATGTAATTAGATGAATAGAAAGATCAGTTTCAATATTAAAATGATTTTGTTTACGTCAAAATATCTGCATAGATGGAAACTGCTTCATTCAACGACATTTTTACATTATATTCCCGCAGAGCCGCTGTTAGTTTATTATTGCTGATGAATGTGTCACATCGTTGCAAAATTGAAATGATTTCCGAAACAAATGCCGATACATATCGAGTGGTTGCCATATGAAATGCACTCGATGCCGAGTAAATGTAAAAGTGAACATAACATGCCGCAAAATCTAATATATAATGCACAAAAAACGATGATATTTTGTGCTCATTTATGGGATACCTGTTGGAAAAAATATGCATTTCATCAAATTGAATTCTTTTGTCATTTTTTATAAGTTTTGAATTTTATCCATAGCTTCTGACCAGGGATTAAATACCCCCTGGAGATCGGATTTTTTTAGCTGTTCTTTTGGAAGTCAATTTTTTTGGTTTCAAAGACAAGGTTGAAAAAGAAGTTGTGAAAAGGTCTTTTGATTTGTTAGGGCTTTTCTCTGGAAAAGTGGAGACCTTTTTTCAATATATTTTTGTGAAACCAAATTACCCCTTTACATTTTATAATTTTTTTGAAATTAAGTCACTCTTGCATCGCCACCGTCAGAAGCTATGATTTCATCGGTTTTTTTTATTCTCATACGCCAATTTGAAGAGCGTTGACCAATTATTGGCATCCATTTGTTTGTACAGTATATCGGTCAATGGAACTAGCAGTAACACTATAGCATAAAAACAAATGATCCCAATGCAAAACTTAATATATCGACGTGATAGATTCGTGTATTGTTTTTCAGCTTCTTCATAAACATTAACAGAGTTGGATATGTCATTCGATTCACTTTGTTTACGATTGTTTTTTATTCCTTTAAAAAGATCAAAAAAAAATATGAGCCAATTTATCATTTTCAATAGGAAATGAAATACTACTTGGTAATTAATTGGAAAATATTGGTTATTTTTGGAAAAGGTTGACTTACTTCGATCAACATAAGTCTCCAATTGTTCGATGGCTGAACTGATTGTGCGTCGCTGCGAAATCATGTAAATGTAAATGAACATCGAAGTTGAGAATGCAAAGCTGGCAAATGCAGGTTCAGTTGCTTCATCAATATCGTCCATATGTTCAAGTGCGTATTTGAATGTGCCAATCATGAACATAACCAAAATTGACAAATACATAACATAACGCAATACTGAAAATGTTTGCATTGATGTTGATGTGGCCAAAGGCCATAAATTCAAACTTGTCAATAATAATTTACATAATTCCAACATTTTGTTGATTCACTTATCACAGCCAAAGGATGAGCCAAGTATGAAATTGTTGTTCAAATTAAAAATGATTTTGTTTATTTGTAATGTACAAATTGTCACTATTATCTGTTTAGGTGGATATTGCTAATAGCCTCAAGGGGTATCTAATAGTATTTCAACCGTTTTGCCATTATATATATATACACTTTGTCGTGCTTTGATTGGCTTTGATTGCAAATTGATTATTTCTAAATACACACATTATAAAAACCACAAAATAATCGAGTATTATTCGCTGCTTATGATTTCTATTTAATATAATTCGCTTCCATCGCACCAAGTCTCAATTTATAATCTGGTATATCTATTTGGTTCTTGCAATCTATCATTACACCAACGAAAATTATTCAAAGAAACCACAAAATTACCAATCATTGCCGTTGCTACGATCCAATCAACCGACTATTTTAAATGGACACTCATGAACAAATGAGTAATTTTTTATTATTTCAATTCTTATTGATTTATGCATAACTAAATAAATAACATGAGTGATGGAACAATTTTCTTTGGATAGATCATTACAAATTATAGACTATCATATACGATTAAATCATTATGAATTATGGTTATGAAATGCACCTAATATTACGTTAATTCTTGGTCGATTGATTTTTAAGACTTACACTCCAAGGTTTTTGAGGTTTACGTTTAAATAACGAATTATTAAAACTACTTATAAGTTGAAATTAAGCGGCAAATTTTCAAATGCTCACAAAAGTCTATGAAAATAACAACCGGAGGCCAAAGATGATTTGCTTTTGAAAAAATGGACTCAAATCCTTCATTTATAAGGAACATTTTCGAGGCAAAACTCAAATTCAACGAATTTTAAATTATTAGTTTGTGAAAAGTAAAATGGTTTTCATTTTATTTTTGAATACAATCATAGTTTATTTACTATTACTAAGTGGCGTTTTATGCAATAAATGCACAATTCGAATTGTTTCGAAAAAAGAAGAAGATAATGCCTAACATTTGACTAGGAGCGAAAGTAATTTTAGTAATTAGAATACAACTGACATCTTTCACATAAGCCGAATATAACGAATTCTTTGCATTTCTTAAAAAAATTGGATTTGTTTTAACGACATAACAAAAATGAATTTAAGTGAATTCTTTCACTGAAAAAGATTCGGTTACTTTCAAAATTACAACGTTGATATAGAAAATGATATACTTAGTTTTGCATATGATAGTAATGTTAGAAAACAATGAAGAACAATACAAAATCTACAAAAATAAACATTTCAAGTATCAGAGAATACCAATCAGAGGTACAATAATTATTGATTATTAAAATGTCAGAAATATGAGAGAGTTTTATTTTTGTCATTCTACCGGGAAATTAAAGTGTGCCGAAATTTGAAATTCAAATATTTTAGAATATTTGGATATTTAACGCAACTGCACAGAGCCAGAGCTGTGTGCGTCGCACATATAATCTACGGTAAGTCACTACACGAAAAATACAGACACAGTGGGATTGTGTACGTGCGGAACTTGATACACATATGATTGTCCGAGAATGAATGTGAGACTTCCCCTGAGAGTTTATTGAAATGAAACACTGCCATACAAAAAATGCTGACTGTCACATTCATTCTCGGACATTCATATATGTAGTGACATAGCGTAGATTCTATTCGTTTATTCTGTGCAGTTGCGTTAAATATCCAGATATTCTAAAATATCTCGGATGGATATCCATACGAAATACATGCACTGAAAATAAAGCAAATTTTAAGTACATTTTAGGCACACATCTTATGCGCTGATGATTTAGCATTGTGACGTCATAAATTCGGCCCAATGCTGCCCCTGACAGTTGTCGAGTGAACTATGACAGTTTTGTATGTACTTTGCTCCAAGGCAACCCCCCTACCCCTCCCCTTACTGATTTAGGTAATAGTTGTCTTAATTTATACGTTAAGTTAAAATTATATTTTCTTCAACAGCAAATAATAGCTTGCCACAGAATTTATCATCTGGTAAAAGGAATAGAAAATATTTTTTTTAAAATAAAATTTGTGAATAGTTCAGAAATGACCATACCATTTTAAGTGTTTCCATATCGCATTTCATTATGCCAAAACCATGATAGAACAAGTATATGTTTGATTGACGAATCATCATCAGTATGCGCTTTTGTGAGGAAATCGAAAACTGATACCAACGTACTGAATACGCAACATCGGACACTTGAATCAATCGCGAGGAAGCAACCGTACTATAATAGCAAAAGAACCAAATCAACGCAACTTGAAGCATTGCTGAATTTAAGCTCACATAAACGTCAAAAGCTCCAGCTTTAGTTTTCTGAAAAAAGAATTTATTTGCAATTAATACCCAAATTACAAATTAGACAAATTACTTTTTCCATTTGAAATAGACAGACTGCCATAAAAATGATACTATTTGCTATAAATATGAATAGCACACCAGACATAATTTTGACCAAATCTTTCATTAGACTGTAAAAAGAAGAAAAATTTACAGTTCACCAGTAAACGATTTTTTTTTTGGGTTGACGCCATTTTAATCAATGATATTGCTTATAAATAATTGTTATTGTTGAGGAAAGAATGTGGGAATAAAATAAATAATTCTTTACCTCAACATATTCATATGAATAGCAACCGCTTTGTTCAAAGCATTTTTAATTTTCACTTCCCGAATGGATGGCTGTAGA